CCTCAACAATTTCGACTATAACAAGCAATCAAAAAAAGTATAAGTGTTAAGAAGAAAATGGGAAAGAATGTTTTTTTTCCAAGAACGACACGAACGAAAAGAAATTGGATACAGATCATCAATAATCGACCAAAACCATAGACAGGATAACCAAAAGCTGAACACATGCAAGTATCATCATACATCGACCAACACCAACCAAACAACAGCTGTTCTCACATAACAAACACTTCAAGTTACTGCATCAACAGTCTAAAATTATTGCCGTCTCCTCGGCACGCAAAACGAACTATTATCAACAAATTTCTTCAATCAGCACTCGTAAATTACCCATCAAAATCTAAGCTGCATGCCAGTCATATTATCATTATCTCAAATGAATCAACAAATCAAATTAAACTAAATCATATCATCACCGTTTCATTACACCATTATTAACCACAACCATATCCAGTATCATCAATTAACCATCCAATCACCTCTGTTAAAATCATATTATTATCATCTTTCAGCTTGCATAATACACAAATAAATCAATCAACTCAAAACAGAATTAAATAAACTCAACATCAACAATAATCAACAAATAAATTAGACATCAACATATTTCTCTTGAACCTGTAAACATCAACAAATCTAAACATCTTTTGTCCAAACAATAATAAACATCAAATCGATTCAAAATAACGGCTATGTCATCAAAATAATCAAACAAAATATTAAACCATCAATGGGATGGATGATTTGCAACAATTATTTCATTTCACAAAAACAATTTCCTCTATAATCACCGACTTATTCAGACATAAATTTTTATATGATAACAGTTCTACGTTCGGCTGGAGCAAGGCCGCACAGAGATGCGATTAACTGCACCAATGATTAAACATGCATCGACAAAGCTTTGCTTTTCTGTAATCAAAATGGAATAGAAAATCAAGTGCAATACTCACATACTATTACTACGCATCTCAATGATGCGATTCATTTTTTTAAAAAATCTCACTATTTGATGCTAGCTGCCCCAAACACTAGCAACTGCCTTTTTCTCAATGTTCAAGACTTATTAAGCTAACGCTTTCTTCTTCAGCACGCATTGTTCCATTGCGCAACAACCAAATCATGGTAGCATAATTACAACTCGCTCCACAAACTGCTTCATATTCACTCGGTCGATTCAACGCGTCAGAAGTGAAGGTCGCTTACGCAGTCCGCACTTGGAAAACAGTAGCAAAATCGTCCAAAGCGTTGTGCGGTTATTCCTTGACTGACTATTCAATACACTACTACTGAGGCAGTTTGATGTTCGATATTCAACCGTTTAATCAGATTTCTCACTTTACATCAAACCGATCAGATTTACATCAAATGTTTACTAAAATTGACCGACAAAAAGTCAATAATAATTTAGACGAGTTTTTCGCTGATGCCCAAGCATGGAGAATGCCCTCAACCGTCACTTTTGACGCACTGAACCGATCGCTCAGCAAGTAATTAAAGACAGTAGCTGGCGCGGGTGATCACTGTGACATTCAAATACCACATGATTTGTATTCCTCCGTCGATACTCTCTCCAATAAATATACACTGAGAAAGCTGACGTTCACTCTGCACCAAATTAATAAGTATGCAGCTGAAGGGAACCCTCAATGTTGCTTAGAAGAGGCCACAAGAAAAACAAAACACTGCACACGAGTTCAATATTTAAAGAAGAACAAGGCTACGATCGATGTTGCTATTATCCTGATTGCTTGCAAATACCAAAAACAAACGATCACTACCATATCAATAACAAAAATTATCGCTCAGCAGCGCAAATTTCCCAAACCAGATAACTCTCAAACCATGTTTTTGAAGATTATTACGAATCTAACATTCACAGTCTTTTTGTTCATTTAGATGGGATAGCATCAAGCAATCAATCAACCGAATGTAAAACAGAAAAGGATGGAAACGGTGGCGAGAAGGGAGGAGTAGAACTGGGAGCGAAAGAGAAATTAAGAACGAAATATTCATTGAAAATTACGAGGTGCATATCAGACACAGACAAATTAACAAAACAAAAAGACGAAATATTGTTTTCAAAAGACAACAAAGTACGGCTGAATGATATTATTTACGCCGACGTGCTTTGAGCATTTTACGAGCCGTCGTTGTCGTGCTACTACTACTAGTGGTGCCAGATGCAAAGAAGTTTGTTGCCGCCGATGTTCTGCAATACAATTATTTTACATGACGATTACTACTTCAGTTTTGTACCACTGTTTGATTTGCACACTTCATTTAAATAAATAACTACTAATCGCTACATTTAAGTGATCAAAAATTCCCCCACTTAATATGCGCTCTTTACCACTAAAGTTACAATTAATCATCTCAACAGTCAAGTACTTCATCAGTTTACTTTATTCCAGTCATCGTGAAAGACAAATAATTACCCGAATTCTGCAGCTGCTCCTGGAACCATACCGCTACTACCAAACGAAAATGAGGCAGTTGGAGCTGAAATGGTAACAAGACTATGTGCTGAAATCAGTAGAATCACTGTAACATGAATACTAACAAAATCGGTGAAAAGAACGAGGAAGAGAAAAGCTTTTCTACAATATTCTACCACGGAGTGCAGCAAATTTGAAATATGCTTCGTTCAATTACGAATCAACATATACCACTATTACAAAGACCATACAATGGACATTTCGCATTCGATTTAAACGATTTAATAATTCAGTTCATATATTCATAATGCTGAAAGAGTTGGGTATCATTCACCTAAGAACTCCTACTGCCACCACAAACTAAAACTAACCTGATTGCTGCGCACTGAAGTTGAACACACCAGGTGCGCTGGTACTGGATGATGAACCGAACGTGAATCCCGTGGAAATACCATTCGTTGCAGGTATGTTACCGAAGTTAAAAGTTTGTGGTACAGGAGGAACAGTGGCACTTTGTGGTGCGCCACTGAATGGCTGAGCCACCGATGATGCCGTACTGCTACCGAACTGGAAAGGCATGCTCATGCCAATGGCTGATGCATCACTACCTGCTGCGCTACTTGTATTCGTGTTTATCCCACTGAATGGATTACTGCAATCGATACAATTGATCACCTACCAGCCACATCACAATCAAATTTTAAATGATCCAACTTCGTTCATTTTGCTGAAGATTTGGCACGAAGTGCATATAATAAAACTCATTCACACGATAGGCTTTCAATGATTGGATGCAAATCATTTCAGAATATAATTCATTCGGACTGATGAATGCCTAGGTGAATTAAACAAACCAATCAATCAACCAACAAACCAACCTTGATGTGGTGGCTGCACCAGATGAACCAGAGCCAGTTGCTAATGAAGGATTCGCTCCGAAGTTGAACAATGAATTTGTGGTGGTCGTTTGTGGTTGTGATGGTATCATACCAAAAGTAAATGGTTGATTTTGGGTTGCTGTAGCGATGGGCTGTTGCTGGGCAATGCCAGTTGTAGAAGATGACTCCTGGGCGGATATCATCTCGATGGAATTCGGGCTCGTTGCTATCTTCCTATCAGTATCGTTTGACTGCTCTGAAACAACCAGTACCGCTGATGCAGCAACTCATCATGAGAACAAACAATTTCACTCACTGATTTCAATTCTGAAATGGAGACAACAAAAAAAAAATCAATGAAAAAACAATACGCCTTACCAGTATTCGTACCGAACAGAGAGCTCTTATTCGAACGGTCATCAGTAGTACCCAACGTTAGAGGGTTTTGTGTTAACGATGCCGACACTGTGCCACCAGGTTGCGGTAATACCGCTGAAAAGTTGAGAGGCGTCTTGGACTGTTGCTCCTTTCCAGCTAGAACAAATTTCAATCTGCATTTCGAACGAAATGTAAGATTGGTTTACTCCACAACGCCAGTAATAATAACAATCGCAATCAGAATCACTGATTCTCAGCGATACTTCACTTGAATCTAGAGGCAATTGCATCGTTTTCCTGAAGCCTCGGTAAAGTGGTTACTTTCGCATTGATGTAACAAACAAACTGGAAATTAAATGGAAACTTATCATCAATTGAACACTTACCACCAAATTTGAACAAATTCGTCGATTGTGAAGTGTTTGCGGTCGAAGCTGATTCAGATGTTTGCGGTGGAAACGATGAAGTGGGAACACCAAAACTGATCGATGCTGGCTTATTACTACTCGTTGGTGCGTCAAAAGTAGGAAGTACAGGTGTGGATGAGGTTTGGGTCAATGTTGGAGAAGATATGCTTGCAATTCCACCAAACAGAGACGATGACTGTAATGAAGGTGTGGTTGATGTGGAAGAAATCGTCGCTGAAACTAATGAAAGGATCAAGTGAGTTGATGGGAAGAGTCAACATTAAATGATGGATATACACCGCTTGATTCATATTCAAACGACCGCTTACCAGTTGGCTCGCTGATATTCGGCTGAGCAGTCTGATTCTTAGATGATGAAGACGAGGTAAGGTCAGCACTAGTATTGGTAGTGAGCGATGATCGCTGCTGTTCTTCCTTGATTACATCCAAATGTGGCACACCACCTGCTGTAGCTTTTGTGAAATGACCCAAATCTGGCGCCGATGAACTATTGGCTAGACCGAACGATGCGACTGCATTAACAGAGTTGATCGATTCGTTCCGATTCTTTGCAAGTGAATCGCTGATGACAGATGATGAGCCTAATCCGAATGCAGGTTGCGCACCGCTCCCCGAACCACTCGCTCCACCAAAACCAAATTTGACACCTATTCAAATGAATATCACAGATAGCAAAACAGAAACACGCATAACGTGCACGTAGTGTAACAATTCCACAAAGTATCAAAATTTCATGCTTACAAAACTAGCACAATTTAAAAAACTGCACATGTAATTATTTCAATTTAATACTTTACTTACAAAAATAGGTACAGTACAAAGAGGTGCATTTTTTTCGGTGCAAGTCATGCAAGATCTCAAATAAGCGCGATGAAGCTTTGATTTCTAACTTATTTCACTTGGCTTAGATCATCATCAAAAACATCACACAGATGGATCGTATGAATGATTCCTTCAAGAACTGATAGGATATATCAGGTATGCGAAAGGATATCATATGAACAGTAGGCATAATGAAGAGCACAAACCTGGCGGAGACGTGGTATTGGTGGGTTTGAATGCGCGATTACCAAAGACATTACTGGCAGTATCAGTGGTTGACTCATGCAACGGTGTATCACACGCCATGCATTTTGTTGCTGTGCACGGATTGCTGATGAAGCATATCCTGCACGACTGCGACTGCCGACTTGCTGCTGCTGCTACTTCAGTATTACCACCACTCACCGTCGACGCTTTAGCCTCACCACATGCCATGCACTTCACTTCATCAGCTCCATTCGATATGAAACATGTCTTACAAGTCCATTTCTGCAACATCATTTCTCCTATTCAACATCATAACCAAAAAGCATTTACNCATTTTGTACAATTCTTGGAACCATAATTTTAATTTTCAGTAGCACTAACAAACACAAATTTCACTCGAACCTTGATTCCGTTTGTTTGAACGTTTTGTTGTGTCTCAGATGCTTTGATCTTTTCGTGTGATTTTTCTGAAAAAAAAAGAGAACTGAACATTGTAAAAACGTATTCAGCTAATAACCTTGAACTTGAAGGCTTTTAAACAAAACCAAGTTTCGATAAGAACAGCATGCTACTATTGACTAAATTCATTTTCGGTAAATAACTTCTCGTGCGTAATTTTAAAAGCTATAGATGATCAGAATGATAACCTAAATGAATAAAAATATAAAAAGTTTGTTATTAATCATCCACCTGCTTCCGCATCGGTCATATCAGAAACCTTTGGAAGTGCCTTCAACGAACGGTCATCATCTGTGGTTGTTGTTAAGCCATCATCGCTCATCTCTGCCAACTGTAATATTTACAAAGTAAACCATCAAACCGAAAAATTGGTACGTCATGAGTTCGAGTCATGTTCGTTGCAGAAAGTTTTGCTCAGAACCGTTGAAATGAATACTGTTTCCGCAAATTTCTAGGAGGCAGGTTTGCTTTCGCTTCATAATGACATAATAGTTTACAATGTCCACTAGATGCTGGAGTAAAGAAAGAAAACTTTAGCGCTGATATCTGAGGTTTCCAAAATTGAAAAATATATGACAAAAAGAGCAGAATGAGTCAACCTCTTGTTCTTCGAACGTTGACACTATTACATCAAGATTTTTTGGCGGTTTTGATGGTCCCCGTCTAATGGGCGTTGAAAACTTGAATGTGGATGAGTGGTGTGACGATTTTTCAGAATGATTCTGCGTAGGATCTTGCGATTTTGATGTCACCGGCTGGAAAATAAAATACTTTAACTTTGTGTTCTCATATAGTGCAGTCAAAAGTGAAGATGAGAACAAAAGATGAGTTGACGTTTGAAATCGAGGTAGAACGACGATTAAGGATTGCTTTTTGCACAACATGACGACAGTGGATGAATATTGCACTGCTCGGATAAAGTGAAGAACGAAAACATTTCATGATCGTCTCTACTTGCATTATTTTGGATTTGCTAATATGAACAAGACAAACCTGATCAAGAACCGTTTGAGTGCTCGTCTCTTCACGTCCAATAACATTCAGTTCAGGCCATCTTGCCGAGAAAATATTGCTTCGCTTTTTCGATGTTACGGTGTCATCAAATTTTTTCGATACTGATGACGAAAATACAGAAGTGCTCGAACGAGATTCAGCTGCTGCCGCAGACGAGTTGTCGTCAGTGTTTTGTTCTGCTTGTACATATTCTGCTGACGGTTTTTGTGCCTGAAGGAACACGTGCATTGTACATAAGTGCTCACATTACACATATGATCATATTTTAGCGAACCTTTGAAATGATAACATCAGAAGGAACCGATGATTGAAAAACAGAAACCTGATGTTCGAACAACGCGGATGACATCTGAGGTGAAAAGGATGCTGACGACTGTTCCATTTCCATTCCCACACTACTGATTTGCGGAACATCTGCACTCTTCTCATTCTTTCGATTTGCCCTAGGAAAACTTGTTCATTGGCAACTCTTACATGGTGTAAATTCTAATGGTCTAGGCAGCAAAGTGATTTACCGGTAAAGATATTTCGGGGAGAGATTCCTTCTCAATCGTTTCCTGGTATGATGATTAACAAACTATGGGCTTAAGCTCAGGATTTAACAAGATCTTAAGAAACCTTCTTCAACATCTACAAAGAAGTGCTCGAACAACAATTTGTTCCTAAAAAATATAGTGACGAAATCATTTCAACTTTCAAAGCAACAGAATTCGATATACGTTCCCTTTTGAAAATATTAAACGTATTGTCATACTCACAATATCATATTATAGATCAACAACGCCGATTATTACACAGAGCATTACCATAATTGCGATCTTTTCAAATAGTTCGTTAACAACAAAACAAACCTACCAACGCTTTTCCGTACGATTCATCGAAGTTGCATAAATAGAATCAGCAATAATTCGAGCACGTGGTACTGCATTCATCGTACTAACAGGTGGCCTACTCACCGGAGATTCAAGCAAATCTGTTGCCCAACGTTCTGGCTTGTTGCTCATGCGCCATGTTGGAATGTTCTAAATTTATCTTAATACTCTTCTAGAATAGAGAGAATCACCTGATATTCTAAAGCACCAGTGAATGAGTAGTCACAAAAACCTCTATTTTGTAAAAATATTCAACAGGAAAATCAAAATAATGCTTGAAAAATGATATATAGTGAGTTGATTTCACTACTGCTTTCTTCATTCGTTCAGTGTAACATGAATATTTCACTTGATAAATATGAAAGATGAGCGAAAAACACACCCGAAGTGGATTCGATATCTTTTTGAGTTCGTCGAGGATTTCCAGAGTTCTAGATGACAATCCTGATACTGAACTGGCTGATCGCGGAACGCTTGACGAACTATTTGAATGATTTCGTTGTGTAGCAGACGAGCAACGAAACGATGGCATAGCTGCACGATAAGAGGGTGTTTGTGAAAGAGGCGTACGACGTAAAAACGTTGACGAACCGGATGGAGATGGCGATCGAGATGCAGAACGATCACTCTGATAATTCATTTTTACAGCATATGATTTTCATCTGACACATCAACACTGATACAATTTAACAATAAACTAGAATGAAAACTTATCGGCATTTTTTCATTGCCAAACGTCCGCTCTGATTTTAAAAAATATCAATACCTATTTAAAAGTAGCTATGAGAGGATGTTTAAAAATGATTGTGTGTAAACGATGCAAAGAAATAAGTTTGCGTTCTAAAACTCACAAATATCAGACCATTTTGGAAAGCTTTCTTCAGTAATACATCAACAATAGATAACTGCCACTGGAACGATACGAAGGAGAATTAAAATCAAAAACAGAAAAATCTTACAAACAAATTTCTGAGACTGTGGTTCGATGGCACCATATGTCTGGTTCTCTTTATCATAGTTCCTGGGACCGCATCGGATGATGATCCACCAAAAAGATCAATCGGTGCTGGCGTTACACTACCACGTTTACGCTGAAGAAAAACAACAGCGTTCATGTCACTATTGACTTTACTGAATTCGTACATTATCAATGAAGTTAAAAAAATCACCGATTGCATGTTCAAAGGCTGTGCAGGTGGATGCGATGATAGGCTAGACGATGGAGACGCAGAAACTCGTAGAATGTCAGATGAGGTTGAATCTGATGAAGGAGCAGTTTCGTGAAAACGATAACTTGTATTGGACGTATTGTTCGCACGTTTTGTTGTAGCAGAACGTGCAGTGATATATGTTGGTGCCTCACGCTGTGATGATGTGTTCGTTACACTGAATGCTGAATCGGAAGCAGTTTTAGTGCTCATCTGACCCTTGAACACCGATGGACTCAAATAACGGATCGGTCGCTGTGATGAAATTACATCTACAAAACACAACAATCAACTGGTGCTATAATTAATTCTTCATACCAACTTCAGATGACTTGCACATAATCAAAGTGAAACATGGCGAAAGACTGCATATGGTCTTAAGCTTAGACTGAGGCTCACGTCGAAGTTAGAATATTTATGAAAAACATAGATGGTTATGTCACATCAGAGTGTGGTATCTATTGGTATCTGTTGAGAACGGAATCAATTTATACTGTTTAGGTGAACAAAACTTAATCTGCTTAATATAAACTGAACCTTGCGATTGAGTTGAAGGGGTCAGAAGTGTAGGCGAATTATCATTACTGGGAAATGAACCGTGATCATCGGTAGGTGTAGAATCAGCGGGGTCATCATTGGGACCTGACTGCTGTCCAGCGGTGGTATTGTGGAATGGATGGTCCGGACTGGACCCCGAAATCGTTGAACCATTCAATGATTCTCGGACAAATCCGGAAACGTTACTAATAACTGACGATAACCAATTCTTTGAAGAATTTGGTTCCCCCATAACTCACTAGGAACCCAGCTGAAATGAGCGTTCATTATACGAAAGTAAACTAATCATTTCATCATACGCTCGTATTATGGTACTGTCGAAAAGATAAGGCTTCTGCCTTACAACTTCAATAAACTGAACGCCTCTTCGCATATATTCTTTGAGTTGCGCACACAACATTCAATAGCCTTACTTATCAGCATTACTTATGCAACAAACTGATAAAAAGAATTTAGTGCAGTGCATTCATTATGGCTGAATTCCGTTCACTGTAGAGTGCTCATTGAAATAAGGCATTCATTTGAATATTCACAGGCAGCAAAATGAATGCTGATACTTCGTGATATTCACATTTAATTAACACAAAAATTGAGCTAAAATAATACCGAATCGATCAATGTCGAACAGCTAATTGCGCAATTTTCAAGTTTTGGTTGTCGCAGCAGAATATGATTAACGGATTCTAAGTGTAGAATGATGAATTTGAGGATAAACGAGATTGAAATTGGCATGCGAAACGGTGCTCTACTTAATGCAATATTGAATTCGAGCTTTCATTGACATTCACGAAACTATTAAAAGTTGAAAAGATACACAACGTACACACAAAAAATTCTCAATTCGTAAACAATGACGAATTGAAACAATTTGCCGCAAACATTTCAAAAATTAAGCCAACAGCCAATTTCAGCATAAATTACGCGCGAAACGCACGCACGCATTCCAAACCATTCCAACAGTTCATTTCAATTTAGCGCTTAAACAAAACCTACACATCAAAGTGTTCATTGCCAAATTGCAGTGACTATTCTTTCATCCGCTATCAAGCCAAATATTATATCCGCATACTAATCTAGATCTCTCTTTCTTTGACCTATCTCCTCAGTTGACCGCAGTGGTCAATTCATCACTTGATTGCAGAATGCGGTTATTATCTGTATCTTTTCATGCATTGTTTCTACAGGGTTTTTGTTTCATGTATTAAATTAATCACTGCTAAGAGATGGTGTTCTTTGACTTGGATGAAACCTACGATTGCAAGAGAACATCGGAGAACTGGAAAACAGTATTTGTGAGAATATTTATGCGCAAAATTGAGCAAGAATTTAATTTGAGCTTATTGGTTCGCGATATCCGGATAATCAAATGAGATTATCGCAGAGTTTGATCCAGGTCGAGTAAGGTTATGTAATGTTGTAGGTGTTTTTCATATGTATTAGGTAGACATGACATTTGTAAATTCATTTGTAAATTCCCGTCTCTCATTATATCACACCGGATGTTGCATTTATAAGTGTTTATTTGTTCGTTTATTTAATCAGCTATAACGAGTTTATGCCTCTCTCTTATCATCACTATCACATTCTTCCTTCCTTCCTTGACATCCTTTCCGCGAAACTAGTGATAGTAGCGCTGGGAATCATCTATTTGCATGAATTGCTATTGAATTTCATGAATTCGCACCCTCTTAATCATCTGGCATCTTCTTTCCTGGGCATTGCCTCCGATTATGGATTTGGCGAGCATAGAGGTGTAAGGTTACTCTCTCATATTGCCCAATGATTTCTGCGAAGAGGGACTCAAAATGAACCTGAAAATACACTTCGCTTGAATATGCGTCCAATGATCGCTCAGTGTAGTTGTTTGAAACATCCTACAGCAGGAAGGTAGTAATTTATAAACAGCGATCTTAATCAGGCAGATCCATGTCCACAATAAAGCAGTAATAAATACTCGTTGCTATAAATAATTTAATACAGCCGAGTAGCAGTCCATCAAAAAAATTATAGCAACGATGAACGTTTTGTCGATCACCCACAACGATCGGCAAATCAACCAAAAAACAAGTGAGATAATGATAGGATAAGTACAGATAGGTACTTCGAAGTTTGATTTGGCTGTTTTGATCTATTAATCGTCTTGACTATCGTTTATTGAGTGAATACCGATTTGTGAAAACGCATATCAGGGAATTATATCGTTAGGTGTGGACAAATGCTGTAAGGTCTGAGATCCTGCAGCAGTCCACCGAATTTCGATTTGTTTGCTCCTCATAGTCAGTGAAGGCACTTCTGTCCTCTGCTATTGGTGGGCGCCTTGAGGGAGATGTGTCCTTTCGGTTGAGGGTAATCTCTAATTGAGACTTCTGGTTTAACGTTGACCCGGACTGGGCACCCTGCTGAATCGGAACGAATCAACTCTTTCTATTCGCGACTCCCGGCCACATTTCTCGTCAGCTGGAACAAATATTGTTCCTAAGGAATCCTCTGTCATTCGAGAAAGTCTTCTCACTCTCGAGAAACCTCGCTCCCAGAACATTCTCTCTGCTTCTCAAGGAACTCGAGTTCCTTTTTCTGTCGACGAACCCTTTTCCCCCTTGCAAAACTCCCCTCTCCGAGAGAATCCTGAAATTTCCTTGCGTATTTTCATCCATCACGTGGTATCCTCTGTTATCCGGTGTTGTCATTTCCATTCTCGGGAATCAAATTTCTTTTCGGCTCCATTCCCCGTCTCTGGATACACCTCTCCTTTCCCAGGCGATTCTGCCCTGTTATTCGCACCATCTTTATCATCTGGCATCTTATTTCTTTCCTGGGCATTGCCTGCCCTTCTCAAAATCCGATCATCCTCCACAAGGCTTCTGTCGCTTCTTCAGATGACACTACCATCGTTCCTTTAGCTAACGAATGTAACATACTTTTATTTAGTGCTGCATTCTAACAAAGATCAGTAAAAGTGAAGAAGTGTTTCGAAAGTTGGAGCTCGTATGGAAAAATTTGAATGTGTGCGAAATGTGTTGGCGTTAAACTAATATGAGGATATAGTGAGTGATTTAAAAGTATTAATGCAAACGAATATGAAATGCAAATGTGCTTGAAGTGAAAACGTATATGGATGGATGATTGATTTTTGTTTATTAGTGGTGGTGGGAGGAGCGAAGAAAGGACGAGGCTCTAAAGTGGTTTTGTAGTGGTAGTATTGTTAGGTTTGCTTATAGAATAGGAGAATGAAGGAAAGTGAAGGATTAAGGAGAGAGGGTTGGGATAAGGTAGGGAATGTATTTGGATTTGTCACTGCAGATTTGATAACGATGAATACTGCTTTATTCAGATTCTTTCCGATTCTCATTTCTCTTTTGAGGATGTTCTATATTGTTTTGTGTTAATTTTAACGTTAATGCACATTCTTTAAAGTACTAAATTATGTATTGATTTATCCTTAATGCTTTTTCCTTAAACAATTATTTACTTTCAAATAATCTTCGGTGCATGTGCTGTCCGAAATGCTTTTGCCAGAATTATAATTTCATTATTTCTTCATATTCAATTCATCTTCTTCGATTAGATTTCATAAATGCTACGTATTATTAATTAAGTTGTGAAGAATTGTCCGTTATTTTTTGTTGCAGAAGATGATATGGTCATTTATGAAGAGATGAGTTCAGAAGTGGAACAAACTACTCATCATTAAACATCAGCGCAGCACGTAGACACTTCTTCTGATTTGATCTCAATAACAAGTTTTATTCCTTGTGCCTTATGCTTCTCATCTATTCAGAATGAAAGGTTTGTTCCGTTTTTTATTTATCGTTTGTGGTACCAAATTTGTTCGCTATTCATGAGTTTACAGAAACTTTTGCCGCAAAAGTTTTTTGTTGGAGTGGCATTACGAAGGAATGGGCATTGTACTAGGCGATTCATATTATTTATCTTTCTGCACCCTTGAAACGATTGTTAATTAGTTCCGTTCATTATTGTACTGTTATTTTTTCATTGCTCATAGCAAGCAGACAGTGATCAATGTGAATGCATTTAGATGATGTATTTAATTGCTAAGGGGAGGTTTTTTTTAAGTTTTTCTTTCGGATAGGTTTTATGTATGTTGATATATTGCATTTACTTGGGTTCAGAGAGAGGTGTATGCGAGTAGCATTCAAAATTAGTACTGATTGAATGAATGAATTCTTTATTGACGATTCCACTCATTCATCCCAAAACTGCTGCTTTTGTGCACTCCTGTTTGTTGATTTCATTGTCTCATGAATTTATTCATCGTAATTCTTCACTCAACTCAGCAACTATCACTTCAATACGCTCCGATGTTTGCATTTTAATTCGACCAGTTTTTTTTCCGCATGAAATAATGTACTAATGCGATTTTTCAAAAAATTTTCCATCGAAATTAATTCACGCCATCAGCAAGTGTTCAGTTAGAATCAATGCATAAATGCATTCCGATTTCATAATTGCCTTCAGCTGTCATCCTTTACTCCCTCACTTATAAACGCATTCTCCTTCTTTATATCCTCCTTCCTATGAAGAAGTTATTCCATCATAATGAATACACATGTATTTGTGTTCATACATAGATGTACATCGATGCATGTGTTATATAATTTTTATGTGTGAGTATGATTCATTTATTTCATCATTTTCACATCTTCGTTTACTCATTCACCTCGGTGGTGATTGCTGGGGACGGTGCATTTGTTATAGGAATGAATGTGTTTTTAAGTATGATCGAAGCAGATGACTTATGCCCGCAGATTTTGATTATCCGAAAAGCATATACTTCATTTGAATTGCAAATGCATCTTAAATGTAGTGTATGCTTTTCCTCTGAAACTTTATCGATAAAAGTGCATATATTTATGTTATATTTAAATGTTTTATTGATAACATTTAATTTTTAGTTAATTTTTAGGGTTGTTCATGTGTCCTCTTTATCTCTTTTACGCATTGACGATATTGCATTTTGTGAACGCTAATTTATTATCGTATTCACGTAAGTATTTCGACGACGATTCATCGCATCGCTCACATCGATTTCATAGGAGGCGATCAATACAGCATGGTATTTCAATTTGTTCCTTAATTGAGAGTTTATTTGTTGTATGGATTTGATTATTTCTTGAATGTTATCAGTGATATTCCGATTCATAATATACCACCCATATATTCCCGACCATGTGGTTGTCGTTCGATTAGCGCATAAGAGATCTATCTCAAAATCACTTCATAAACATCTGCTGCTCATACTACTCTTATAAGCATAAACAATATCCAGCAGTATATTTAATGAAAACTTTAGCTTGTACTGTTCTGTCTGGTATGAATTCAGCTCTGTTCTTTCAAGAATCATTACATTAGTCTTTTACGAGTAAATTTCTGATCGTTGTTTGGTTTAAATTGTAATGGTATTACTGCGAACAAAAGCTTGGAATGATTTAATAAATTCGTAAGAGAAATTAAGTTTAGTCGTATGCATTGTCTAAATTAAAATATGTGCTCCGCATTCAAGAAGTTGAATACCCGTCATTTAAGAAGCTGCATTCAGTGTAAGAAATAAAAAGGATGTGATTTAATAAATGAAGAGGACACAGTCGAGATTTACTTTTCAATGTCCCAAGCAATAATTGCATGATTAATTGAGCAGTTAAGATATTCTTGCCGAACAGCTAAAAATTACATAATAATTCTGAAATATTGATGCAACTCGACTGCATTCATGTTGAAGTGGCAATATTTTTATTATATTGGAGTATTTTACTTTGTCGATAGGCGATAAGTTAGTGAGCATTTAATTTTTGGATGGATAGAGCGGTGGGGGTTGGTTAGGAGAATAGAATGGAATTGAGGTTATACGGTATGTTTGAACATATTCCAAACATCATCGTTTGATTAATGTGGTATTGTTATGTTCACAATTGGCAGGTGCATTTCCGTGCTTGATTAATCATTATTTGAGAAGTGAATTGATTTCTTTTCGTTTCGTTGTTCAATTCATGGACTAGTAAATAGTTGATTTGCTTTTTTGATGTTATGGATGCATTTCAGAGGATCGCTTTCTTGGGTTTCGCTTCACTGAAGAACCATCAAGTACAATAGTTAAAGATGGTCGTGTTCAGTTGAACTGTAAGCATGCTATCAACTCATCTTCGAATAGTGACGTTCATAATGTACGTATTGAATGGCGCAAGGATGGCACTCCGCTCAGCTCGTTGAGACCATCCGGAAGAGTGTAAGTTGATATGATTTGGTGATGAGCGAGTGGTTGTGTGTTGAGTGCAGTCGTAGTCTTCAATCATCGAAAAAACTCCTCGATGGTGAACGTGCATAGATAGTTGTCAAGATTTCATCCTGTTCCGATGAAATCGGTTTCATCGTCATTGTCATTTCAGTTTTTTTTTTGAATTCTGTCAGGTAATATTGTAATCTTAATGTCAGAATAATTCAAAACGTAATCGGCATAATAATATTTAAACTTTTCGCTAAAAATTATCTACAACTGATTCTCAGTTTTTGTGGGATTTTGACGATGATGTTTTGAATTCAGAATAAGTCGGGTGTTGGAGCGTTTATCGCTGACTGTATCATCACCATAAATAATTTTCATCAGTCTCATTGTTCATATGTGCCCTCCCCTATACTGCTTACCATGTGGAGAGTACTATTGAATATTTAATTGTTTTCGTATTTTTGTTTGTCCCTACTAGCTGGTTGCTATACGATGTGGTTATTTATGATCGTTTGAGAAGTATGATCATATCAACACTAAGCTTATATGAGTGATACAAATGCTTTGTTCTGGGATGATTTATGACACATTTAATAGTTTTGGCTTAACCTTCATTGAGTTGATGTGGTATTGCGACCAGCTGACGACTATTCGCTAGTCACTCATTCAAGGAACGGCGTATGATTATTATCTCATTTAAGATTGGTCCTACCAAATGGTTCACTCTTGATCGAAAATGCTGGTTCGGCCGATCACGGTATTTATCAGTGCATTGTTCACATTGTTGATAAAAATGATTTCACATGGACATATGTTTCTAAGCGTGCTTCTGTTCACTTTCCATCATTGAGCAGGTTTGGCCTCATTACTCGATTCTTCTGTAGATTGTTTCAACCTTGATTTATGCGGTTCAGCACTTTGAAAAACCGAAATCATTCGTATTCAGTGCGTGTCCAACTTTGTATTCTTCAATTATTTCATTAGTCTTTGATCGATAATTTCTCACCGATCAGTTGTTATTGTTCAGGTTTGAAGTACAGCCTCAGGACCATGATGTATATAGGGGCCAAGCAGTTGCTTTTTCGTGTGTTTTGGTGAGTTGTTGTTGTATCGTTATGAGTTGCATTCTCGGTTTTTTCATCTCAACGTTCCGTAGTCTGAGTGGTAATTTCGTCTCAAGAAAATCTGTTCCAGGACTCACAGCCGCCAGCAGTTATTCAGTGGTATCATAACGATCGGTTGATAGTTGATGGTAAAAATAATGCCTTATTTTATTCCGTTATCAATGTTCTTGCAATATTAGAATCGGTTCTGTGCTTTATTATAGCAATTAACAGTTTTATTACTTTATACGATTTTTGTGAGTTTTGTTGGAATGACGACAAGGAATTTGAATGATGAGCGTGTAACTGTTTCAGATGCTGATGCGTCAATAACGATCTTTCCGCTTACATCTACACTCGAAATCGGTAACGTGCAGTCACGACATGAAGGCAAATATAAATGTGTCGCGAAGAACGCTGATAAATCACGTATCAGTCGTGATGCGAAACTCTCGATTCGACCAGAGAACAACGGTCAGTTTGGATTGGATTGATCGAGTGAACGATTGATTGGTTTCATTTACAGTGGGTAACGAATTTTCGGAACCGTCATTTGCGTTAGAGCCACGCGGTGAGGTACTTGATGAAGGTGATTCAATTGTGTTGGAATGTCTAGCGAATGGATGGCCAAAACCAGATGTGCGGTGGTTGAAGGGATCACAAGCAATTTCTGCAGACGGTGATCGGGTTAGTCTTTACATGTTTATCATCATCTTTTGAAGTGTTAATTAGCGAAGTGAGCTGCCAAATTGCACAATAATATTAATCGAGGCATAAATGTGTTTGCGTCATCATTAATATGGTGACTAATTTTTGCGATTTGATTCAGATAAGACGATTAGGTACTTCATCGCTGTTGATTTTGAAAGCATCACCAAACGATGCTGGTGTCTATACTTGCCGTGCTAGCAACACCCAAGATTCAGCTGACTCCTCTGCAACTATTCAAGTCAAAGGTTCGTCGTTTTTTGGTGTTATGTCATTGTTATCAGATAGCAAAAAAAAGAATGTAACAGCAATATTTAATGCATCATCTACACTGATATTAAACGATCGGATTAGATGAGATGGACAGATGTATTATTGTTTACATTATAGTGCGAATGTAGCACTGTTACGGGTAGGAGAATACATTTAAAGAGAGTAAAAGTATATCGGCAGCTTATTCTCATAGATGGGTGTTGTGTTGTCTCTTATCTGCTATCTGTATCTGCAGTTTATTGAAATACGACAATTCAAGTGCGCATTAATGCCTAATGGCAAACGGCACAATATGTTCTCTGCTTGGCATGCTGCCTTCTGCTCTGTTTTTGCTTTTAACAATCGATCATCAATACAGTTATACGAGTCATTAGAAATGCATATCTGTCGATTGCAGCATCATCATAAGCGGGTACAATTAAGGCAGTGAGGGATGGGATCAATGAGCCTATCATTCACTCTCTTCATCACTGCTATACATACATAAATATTTCAAATTGTACACACTGCATGCATATATTTTCTTTCGAATTATCCATGAATATTTGTGGCTAACGGACCTTGCATATGATATGGGCTTACTTATTGTAGGCATGATGGCCAATTTAATTCGTTGAAGCGCATATAACTTCATCAGCAAGCAAACGCACTTTATGAATAGTTAATTTTAATGTGTGCCATAAGAATGGCCTGAGCACGTAAACGTGCAATTTTTTGTGGAGTGATATTTGTGTTGTATCTTTGAATACGTCCATGCACCACTCGTTTATGATACTAATTTCCATGAGTCATTCGCCAGTCGTCCAGAAGGGGTACATTTATCTTCATCCAGATTAACATTTTATAAGAAAACACCTAAAATGAATAATCATCTTCAAATATTCGGTTTTATTTTAACAAAATAAAATTTTGATTATTGCATCTTTTTAATTTAGAACTTCACTGACATTACTGGCAGGGAGTGCTTTTCTAAAGCGAACACCGTAGTCGCATCGCATTCATACTTTACAAATTTGGCTCTTAGGCCATATTAAGTACGATATTGGCAACAAACTGTGCTATCTGACCTTAACGGCATAAATTTTCGCCAAACCAGCAATTGATAATATTTTCAGTAGCGCCAGAAATAACCACGAACCCAAAAAGTGAAATAGCACAGGAAACAACCGACGTTGAGGTAAATAGAGCCATAACTCGTTGTTGAAACTTATTTACAATTTGAAAGTCTGTTTGCTGACTTGTCTTTTATTCACTGTCTCACCAGTAAACAAATTTACAATGGATCATCTCAGAAAATCCTTAAATTTTAGTTTTCTTGTGAAGCTTCTGGAAAGCCGGGCGCAGTTGTGAGTTGGTACAAGAACGGAGAGGCGATCATTGCGAGCGAATATTTTGTGGTCGGTTCTCAGCTATTTTTGTAGATGAGGAGCATTCATTGACGAGCACATTTTAGATCGAGGCGAATCGTTTACGTATTCTGGGATTGGTTCGTAATGACCAGGGTGTATATCAGTGTATTGCGGACAACGATGCTGGATCTGTACAAGCCAGTGCACAACTAATAGTCGATAACGCCGGTCAGTTGATTATTATCTCAAATGCAGTTTCGGTTGTGTTCGTTGAAATGATGACCAAATTTATAGAAGCGTTGCAACAATATTATGCCACGCTTATAGCCACAAGCGAGTCAATGAGGCACATTGACAATGAGTCGGGTGAGCCGTGTCCCGTTTGAGTGATTTAATGATGATTCACTGACCGAGTGACGTTGAACCTCATTAATAAATAATCAACCCATGCGTACTGTTTCGTGTGCTGTTGATCGTTAAATTCGCATGAATGTCTTTGTTATTGATTGAAACAAGAACGAGCGTTTACTTTTAACCAAAAAACTAGTATATCTCCCATTAAATTTTGAATGATTTATCATCCCGAATGTTTTCTAGTCCTCCTTATGTATTCATTTGTTTCTCTTTATTATTTCACAAAATCGGAACTTATCAGCAAACATGCAAGTCTAATTTATTCCTAACCCAACTTTCTTTGTTCCCTGTAGCCTTACAGCCGTTTTAAGCTAGCTACCAGTAAGCCATTTTCGGTGGAAATATTTGGATTCCTTTTGTAAATTTTAAAAATTGCGGAAAAAAGTGCTTAGCGAGCAAAAAAACTTTTGTTTTTTAATGTAATCCTTCAGTTCTCCTTTCAGTAGCGCTCACTTTTGCAATAATAGTATACCTTCTCAAGTATTGAGTGTAATGATTGGCGTTATTTATTCATTGTTCATTTTCATGTTGAATGCATCCCATCAGTGGTCTTTATCATTTGATAATGTTAATTTGAAGAGTAAATGACTGTTTGATGAAGGATCATCTTAAATGCAAATTGCAGATACATTCCAATTGGCCGCATCCGATGGACAGCCACGGGTTCCATCTGAGCCGTTAGGTGTGCGTGCCTCTGTGGTCGGTAGTCGTTTCGTTACACTTGCATGGGATCCCCCTGTGCAACGTTATGGTTCTCTTCTTGCCTATCACATATTCTACAAGGAACTGGGCTCAACTCGGTTTGTTTTCATCATGTGTTCGTTTGCAATTACTCGTCTATTATAAAAGTGTCACGAAAAGATTTGATTTGGTAGTGGTGATGTCTTATTGATCGACAATCATATATGCGTGCGAATCTCATTTTTCTTATTTGTAATCGCAAGCAAAGTGATTTGCGAAGGAACTGTAGATTATGTCTACATTCACACAGTGAATGGACATGTGGTCAACAGATGTGAACGTTGAGTGGGTTTAAACAAAGTGAAGGAAGTGATTAGTTTGAGGGAATTCAACGGATCAGGGGACGTTTCATTTTGAACGAAAGTATTTCAGTGAGCGAATGATCAATTCAACGTCAACTTCATTCACGGTCACGCCCTTACAGCCAAATACGGTCTATATGTTCCGTTTAGTGGCTGAAAATGAAGCTGGCATAGGTAAATCCACATCACAACTCTCAGTTACAACCACCAAAGAGCAGGTTTGTTGTTATTTGCTCGTTGATTGAGTCGAATCGATTTGGTCACTTCTGACTGATGATTTAGGCTGTTCCTGGCAAGGTGCGTAATCTTCAAGCAACAGCATTAAGCCCCGAAACAATTGAAGTCACATGGGAGCCACCCGGCGGAAACGGACCAACTGCAGTTCAGTACAAACTGTTCTATATACGGAAAGATGCTGGACCAAATGAAAAGGAAACGCAAATTGTTGTAAGTTATTATAGTGCTCTCTTCGGTCGCATAGTTAACTGAAAGAATGAATTGATTCAGATGAAGAAAACCTCATACACATTGCATGGAATGGACAAATATGTGGAATATGTGATTCGAGTAGAGGCCGAGGGATCGAACGGTGCAGGTTTAAGCTCTGAACCGGTCATTGTACGAACACTGTCTGATCTGCCATCGATGCCTCCGGCTGATGTTCGGTATGCGTTTGATTGATTGTTGTTTTGTAAGCGATAGAATGAAAATAAAACAAATTTGCAGTGCTGAAGCAGCTTCGTCAACCTCAATTCTGGTGCAGTGGTCACCGTTACCTAATGAAGAACGCAACGGTGTAATAACAGGCTATCGCATCAAATATAAGACCAAATTAAGAGGCACTAAAGGCAACACGCTAGTGGTAGACGGTAATGATGTATCGTACACGATCACCGCTCTTGATCCTGCCACTCAATATATGCTTCGTGTTGCAGCTCTTAATCAGGTTTTTCCATTCAGTGCTCTATCAGTTCAATAAATCAGCTGTTTTAGAGATTGGATTAATGTTTGCTGATAATACAAGGACTTAAATGAGTTAGTTTGCAAGAGCAGTTGTTATTGCAGAATGGTTCGGGCCCTAACTCAGAATGGGTGCATGTGGAAACACCTCTAGAGGACAAAGACGAGGGACAGGTTGCCGGGCCACCGATGTCGCTCAAAGTACAGCCTTCGTCTGATTCCATACAACTTTCTTGGTTACCGCCTCGAGATGAAGGTGTCATGGTTCGTGGATATCTGGTAAGTTCCGTGGTTATATTTCGATAAAAACGCACAGCAATTCATACTGTGTTAGTAATGAATGTTTCAATATTGCATTTGGAATTAAGTTATACATTCTTGATAGAGTAGGTTGCATCTTAACTTTTTACATAGAATGAAACATTCTGATTTGTCGAAAGTGAATAGATGGTTACATTCAGTGAAAATGTTTTGGATTATGGTTGTTCGTTATTTGTGAACTTGCTTATTTACAAACATTGAATTAACAGGTTGGTTGGGGTATAAATATACCAGATGTTGAACAAGTGAAAGTACCGTCGAATTTGCGTTATTACACCATAACTGGTCTCAAACCGAGTCGTGATTATGTGATATCACTACGTGCCTATAATGTTATGGGCAATGGTTTTCCAATCTATGAAACTGTACGAACAACCTCGATCGGCGTAATGCCTCCATCAGGAAGTGGTGGCGGCGGCATCTTCGATTCATCCAGTTCAACCCCACCCGAAACGCCGGTTGGCGTGAGAGCAGATGCAATGTCATCATCGGCCATTCGTATCACATGGATTGATCCTGAATTAGACGTACCTTATTCCAGACAATACGCAATTCGATATAGCTCGAAGTAAATTTTCGATATTTTGATCCTTAGATATGTGTTTTTTTATATTTGCTCTATTATTTAAGTAATAGTAATATGTTTGTGTTCACTATGCAACAGTATGCTGATATATTTAAGCGCCGAAAGCAATGGACAACCAAGGTTTCTGAATACGTCTGAGACTGAAGTACTCATCGAAGGCTTAAGACCGAACACTCAATATGAATTTGCAGTTCGTGTTAATGCTGGAAGGTAAGTAATTCATTTCTAGCACGAGTTCACTGCGAAATCGGTGTCTAAGCACAGCTGTTTTTAGTTGCATTGATTTGATACATTGATGACTTCAGAGCGTCATCACCTTGGTCGATGACAGCCATCAATCGAACCCTGCCAGCGCCTCCATCGAGTGCTCCGCGCGACCTTACAGTGGTGCAACCAACCAATAATGATCCACACTCTTTAACTCTCAACTGGCAGCCACCTAAATATGGAAATGGTGAAATTGAAGGTTGTATTTATTTCATTTGCCGATCATTCAGTTGATTTTTCAGTTCAGTTAAATCATTTCAAGAGGTGCTGTTTAGATCAGTTAGATAGTTGGTCACTGATTGCACTTCTCCAAAAAAAGGAAGCTATTTGTCGAATAGACAGACGCATGTGGAACTGAGTGTTTTTTAAATAGTTGATTTTTACAAGAAGGTTTCTTTCAGAATATCTAATATATTACTCGGATCGCGCAGATTTGCCAGACAAAGATTGGGTTTTGGATGGAGTGAAAGGTGATCGTCTTTCGATAACACTCACGAATCTTTTACCGCGTACAACGTATTTCTTCAAGATGCAGGCGAGAAACGTCAAAGGTTACGGACCGTTATCGCCCGTGCTGCAGTATGTACCCGGTGCGCCTCCTCCCCGTCTGTTTCAGGTTGTTTGCATTCACTTATATGTTATATGTCAAACCTAATAAAATCTGCGCTTCATCTTCTAATTCTCATTCCGTTTACCACTTTTGAATAGCCAAATATTTTATCATATGTCAGCGAGAAATGGAGTGGGCAACTGAATTCTCAAATATTTGAAAATGTTTTATAATTATTTTCATGATAGAGATTGCAGGGTGCTGAAGCATCAAATGAAACTCTGTCAACGTCGTTGATATTGAGTAATCCACTGTATGCAGCAATCGGTGTTGCCAGCATTGTGGTACTTGTTCTGTCGGTTATTGTCACGGCATGGTGTGTTAAGTCAAACAACACTAAGTCGGTAGCAGCTGGCGGTTATGTGGCTGGCAGAAAGAGTACTTCAGATGGTAAAGGCCCACCGGATTTTTGGATCAATCATCCGCACAATCAACACGTTAGAGCATCTGGTAAGGAACTGGTTTTGTTAAGTTGCATGCTGAAAGGTGAAGTTACCAACTGTATACGATGTGTTTTGTTTTTGTAATATGATTAATTGCTATGTGGGAAGATCTTGTTTATTCGCTTCGAACATGCATTGTGAGCAGATCGATGAGCTGTTATATGATCAACCAAATTGATTGAATGTTGCTTATTGTGGTGACGTTTGTTGTTGGACTGAATTTATTGATTTTGTGTGGTGAATGCACGCTTTGGTTGTTTGGAACTGCAATTTATAGAGTACGTTAGTGACAGTCCAGCAACATCAGTGAACGATTTGCAACGCTTTGAAAACCCTCTTACCGCTTTGGAAACACCTCCACCTCGCTATCAAACTCTTCAAGGTGCTGCTATCTCATTTCTTTTTGTTTATTTTCGGGATAAACATCATTTCCTATTTTCACTTCATTTCATTTTAATTCATTTATCTATGCTCCCCTCTTTGGTACTCATCTTGTTTGTTCCCATTACAAATAATCATTTTAAAAAGTTAGTGAATGAATGCCACATTACAAAGCCGTTACGGAATGAACGCTGAAAGGTTATGTGACGCTTAACAAGTGCTTATTATAACCGAATGCGCGATTGTATTAGTGGTTGTGTAAAGTGCTCATCAATTTGTCCTTCTCATTTGAGCATATTTGTTCATGTTGCTTTCATCAACAAACTTCTTTTTGTTTGTATTCTTTCTGAATGTGTTTCAAAAGGAAGCATTAAGGTAATGGAACGTTGACACGAAGTTATCATCAGTCTTCGTCCAGTTTAGAAGGACGGCAAAGGACACCACAGGTGGTTTATACAGGCTCAGCGAGACATCAGGTTCAAATCAAATCTTTGAACTCAACAAGTTTTGCTCTGTATTCCTCGTCTTCTTTGCTTTTTGATGCGAAGTTTTATTTTTCAAATATATGTATACCTAATTGAGTCATTGCTTTGTTTACATGTTATAGCAGTTTCAAACAGTACTAATTGATTTTCGATTGAATGATGAATGTTTTCTTTTTCGACTGTGGTCAATAATGATTGCAGCCTGTTGCAAAGATAGACTTCTCTGATCATGGTTCATCTTATGGTTCATCGCAAGCGTTACAAGCGCAAACGCCTCCGCCTCCTCAGCTACCCAATCAGGGACCTCCAGTTGCACCCCCGTCACAAATGTCCTCTGCTGATGGGTATCGTACATTGCGTGCAGCAGCATCCTCTTCCAACAGTTCTAATCCGTTAAAGTCATTCACGCAGTTAGCTGGTGCACCGCCACCCCTATCGCCTTCTCAAGGTATGTGATTCGACATCCGAATGAATCATTGCTGCATTCAACCCCATAATAACTGATTAACAACGTCAGTAAACGTCTTCAATTTTCATCACTACAAACTTCGTGTATGGAATTGCAAAAGCCTTGGCCTTTTAGTTATCCATTTTCTCAGACAAATTCTTGCAATTTTAGAGGCTGCTTACTTCATAAGAAGAAAACGAATTTCCGCCCAGTATTGAGTGCGTTCTAGTTTTAGGTGAACGAACAGCTCATGTAGTGCGACCAGTGGTAGTTGCTTCACCGAATCCACGTCTTGGCAAACCAGCCGGAGTGGTGATCGGGCAGAAATCCTCTCATGTACCAGTTGGGCGAGCAACTGCACAACCACGAGTGAACGTCAACAGTATTTATGCACCGTATACATCCTGTGCTCTTGCTGAAAAAACTCCATTAAATCATGAGAAAACGACAAGCTCTGAACTTATTGATGCCCAACAACTTCATGTGAGTTGTATTCTTTCTAGTTGAGTTGCTGGCTGTTTTGTTTCTTGAGTGTTTTTCTAATATTTAATATTTTAGCCATCAAATTCAACTGAAGAACTGAATGCGCAGATGGAGAATTTGGATACGATGATTGATGACCTACAAGCATTACAACATGAATTTAATACGAGTGCTTAATGAATGTATTGGAATAGAATATGTGTTGGTGCATATAATTGTATATGTTCATTGTATTTCGGTGCTCAAAAGAGCCAATAATTTTAGGTTGAAGAATTTTTCAGTGAAGAAAAAGCAGTAGGGAAGAAGCATGATTGCATCATGATATTTTATGTAAACGGTCGGTGATACCCTGGATGTGTGTATTTAGTCTTAAACTAAATATTCTCGAATTGACTGATGCATGGTGGTGTGTCCGCTCATTTCGACACTGCATGTGCATTAGAGAGTATTAGCTCCAAGCTGTCTGAATTCTTTGACCCTATTTTCGGGGTTATTCATTTCGTAATCTATAAAATATTTGTACATTAAGCTTTGTTTATTGTCTTGAATTTGTTGGGTATGTATATGATTTTCACTCGTCCCGAAAGTTTGCGTTCCTCCTTAGTGAGATTGATGCTTAAGCCTAGGCTGAGGCTGATGCTTAGGCTTAGGCTAGAGGTTGATGTTTGGTCTTAGGCTATGGTTCGTCTCTGGACTGCGACGGAACCTCTGGTAACGCTGTGTCTATCTGCGGAGAGGAATTCCCCTTCTAAAACATCCGTTAGCAGAGATACCTTTTAGACTAATTGACCTAGAACGGTGTGGTGGGCTTATTGTGAAGTTTTGAGCATTGTACAAGGCCTGTTGAGCACAGGCAGTGCATGCTGCATGGTGAAGTGGTGGTTGATTTCATCCGAATCGAATGGCTCATTCATCGAACCAGTTATTATATTCAATTCAAATAATGTTCTCTTGTCATCTCATTGAAACGACTGTATTGTTCATTCAGACGTCTCTACTGTTGGATGCCCACCTCAGTTATGCTCTCTGAATTCTATCATTCCAGCCACTTATGATAAGTGCTTCTGGTCTCTCAATCAAACTTTTTTTTAAATTTTCATTTGTCTCTTCCCTCTAGATTAAAAACCCATTCGATTAATAAATTTCTTAGGCAGTATACATTCAAACAATCGTCATACTATTGTTGTTATGGCAAAGTGTTTCATTGTACCAAAAGCGAAAATAAAATAACCTTGTATTTATTAAGAAATTGAAATTTGGTAAATAAAAAAATATTGAAACAGATTATGTTTAATTGCACAATTTCGTATGGGTTTTAGTTCAGAAGCGATTTGCTATCATGTTGTATTTTCCGTATTGTTGAAAATGCCAAATGGGGCATTTACACCTGCCACTGTAATATTTTCACTTCATATTGATACACTTTTGAGCATTTTTTGATGTGTCTTCTGTTATTACCATTTATCTTTTGGTTCCTTCTCATGCAGTTTTTATTGTTGTATTGTTATGCGATAAGGTTTGTTTGCGTTACCCAGCATTGTTGATCTGTTTGTTTGCATTGATATGATACGTTATTGTTTTGTCAGATCATTGTATTTCTCCGTCAGTTCCTTTATTCTTCGCAACATTCTGACCGATGTAAATTTGTCGTTTATTTATGCGTCATTGACGTCATCTTGAAGTTATTCTTGCCAAACTGCAAAAGATTTTTGACGGAGTTTATTTCGTGTACATCGCTGTCGTCTTATTTTTGTAATTTAATATAGTTACAGAACAAAAACGCTGTGTAATTAATGATCACTTTGAAGTATATGTGTGAATAAACTTACAAAAATTTATTTGTTGCATTTCAATGTTGTTTATATGTGCACGTTTGTAAGTTATTTTGCTTGTATCACCGTTATTTAGTTGAAATAATCAGTTGTGTTTGTTAGTTTCATCGTTTTGTCCTCTGTAAGTACGAATTTAATCCATCATTGTAATTATGTACCATAGAGACTTTCTTCTCTTTGTTTTCAATTCGGCAGTTGGTTTGGTATCTTCAATGGATGATTTTTGAACCAACTTCGAATTAAAATTTATTCTATGTGGAGGATTTACGATTCATACCTGATTTATTTACGTAATATTTTGTTGTTTCACGTCCGTTTATGTTTCTATACCAGTTCAATAAATATTTTAGAAGTTTTTCAAAAGAAACTGCATTTATTTCAATTTTGTGTTAATGTTATCCAAGTAGTAGGTGTTTTTGTTTGCCTCTTATAGAGAAGTTTTTGGAAGTGTTCCTAGGGGCTGTGCTTCATGCACCAAATAGACAAGTAGACTCTTCTTAGTATACTGTCGTTCTTCTAAAAGCATTGCATCGCTCAGTGACTCTATGAAAGCTTTCAGAATTGTTCATCACCGCAAAAGTACAATCAACTATTGTAATATTTCAAACTTTCACATACAAATGATGGCATTCGTTTACTTCGTCATTCATGAACATTGCACGACGGGCTCTTTACTCACCACCATTTACTGCCAACGTTACATTATCAGTGGCAGGTTATGCTTGGCCACCCATAGCGTGACTGTGGATAACGATGCGTTCTGAGTCGAGTTATTGCATCTGATGCGCAATCATTTTGAAAACTGTTTTTGAATTAGAGTTATTCTTGGTCGGATATGGAAGAAACTTGGACACAAGCAAATAGCTTTATCAATCAGAATCGAAATCAGATCAGATCATCAAATCAAAACCAATTCAAAGATCATCATTCCACCGTATACGTACAGAGATAACGGTTTGGTGGTAAGCGGCATACAAATGAAAATTGTGATATGTTTTCGTCAGCGATATAGTTAATCATCAGTCACTCATTTTATATGACCTAAGAATGAATATCAAACAATAAGGTGATAGTATTTAGTCAGGTGAATATCATTGTAATCAAAAGGAATCGTCCGAAACAGTCGTACAAGAGAGAAAAGGAGCTGACATCTGTCAAGTGTGAAATATTAATTGATGAGAACATGATTCTACTGATAACATCGCTGATATTTAATAAGGTGAATATTCAGACATTTCATCGTTGCTTCCTCGTTTTCCGAACTGCAGAGGTCGATAGCTCTTCTTACCAAACTGTAGTGGACGGTAGCCATCACGTTTTCCAAACTGAAAATCCAACAAAATACGTGTTGTTTTAATAGCGCATTCTAGAATTTGATGTTGTGTTCACAGCTCAAGTCGAATAAACCACTCCGATTCTTTCATTTCTCCTCATGTGAGCATTTCATATTATTGACATAGTTCATAGCCATATACACTTTGATAGTTTACTTTAATTTTTACCGATAAAAAGAAGAATTGAATCCATGAATATAATAGTATCGACCATGGACATTTCGGGGTAGGAAATTGATTAATTTTTATATTTCACGATCTTTACCCATGTGATCGCTAAGTAACGGTCATTTTCTGATAGCGAGAGAGATGCTGCTTAAAATTTATCTTTTGCATTGATTACTCGCAAAAAAAGTACATCTTTCACGAATTCGCGAGGAACTGTTTTCATTGAACTATTGTCGTTTCCTTAATAAATGCATTTTTTAAGGACTGATTAATGAGTTGGCTGCATCATTACTACCGAATGCTGTTCTATCTAAACGCATTGAGTTCATCTCAACAAATCGATCCAAGTGGTAAAATAACTGAATATAGAATAGCATTTAATCTTTTAAAATTTTCAGCAATCAGTGATCAAATGTAATTGTGAATCTGAAAGTGAAAAAGCTTTTTCGATTGTTTTCATTAGTTTATCATTGAACTGGTTCATATAGATTAATGTGAACCAGTAATGAAGTTGCTTTTTGTTGTAACATTTAGTCAATCCGTTTCTGCGTTGGATTTATTCTCAATGCAATACGATGTTTTTCGGTACATCTGGGAAAATGTTTTTTGCATGTTTGAAATATCTGTTCATCTGCAGCAGGTCGTTGTCGAAAAAATTAGGTTCTGGATTGCCTCAGATAGCTAAACAGATTTTCAGTGATTAACCTCATGAAATCTTATCCTTCAACTTATTATCATAAAGCGAGAGTGGTTGCGGCATACTGCTTGCATAATTCGAAACGGATAGAAAAAGGATTTCGCGTCCTGACTGATCAATTTTTGTAAAAAGGTTTCAAGAACAATAATTACGGCATAATATACTTGTAAAAGTGTACGTTTTGAAATAGTATGATTTGGTATTTTTTGACCGAAGCAGTTGTTGAGATGAAAATCAAAACTGTCAGTAACGCCTGTGTGGACAAATGACGACTAACGAATGTATCGAATTACGCCGATCAAATGACTGAAAATTCTTGCTAAAAGGCAAAAAACGCTCAACGATTTAGCAGTGGTCAAAGACAGTTGCACCATGTCAATTCGTATTCATGAAATCATGATGAATTCTCGACAGCACATGCAAATTCATGAGATTTTATATCATTTCCATCATAATAAACTACGTATGCAGCTTATCTATCAATACAGCTGATTATTAAGCTTATCTATTAATATGGATTAAGTCTGCAAATGATTCTATTATATGAGCAGTACAGTAGCATGCATCTATATTCGCTTATAATGTCTCTTATATTACATAACATTTTTAACTGTATTAGAGTGTCAATTATAATATAGGCTCTTAGGATGAAAAAATCACAAATTTGGGATGAGTTCCTGAAATGAAACTTGTATGGCTGTGGATCTTTTGCAAGAAGGATGCATTTTTTGAGGCGAATAAATTGTGAAAAGAGATGGAACTGAGGTGCTGAATGCTGAACTCAAATAAGAATATCATCATACTCACCTGCAGAGGTCGGTAGTCGCGATCCTGACGATCAAAACGACTTGGTGCTAGATCGCAGTGGACGGCGCTGGTGATGCACAGAATCAGCAAGAAGTATATCCATGCAAGCATGATGAACAGTCTGGATGATAATTGTTATCGCCTTTCACCGCACCTCCTTTCAACGTCACTAGGCTATGAATGAATAATGAAAATGACAAGATGATTTCAAAATCACTCTAACTAAATAAAGACCATCACATCCTATTTCAGTGCAAACCCCGCCTCTCTTTGTATTTTTGCTAAGTGATGCGTATCGGTGACTGAGCTAGCGCATGCATTTTCATCGCTAAAATGATG